ATTTACAGCCTTTATGAGTTCTTTTCTCTTTTTCTTGATCTTTTTCGTTCATCTCGTTTTAACTACTTTCTTCCTCTCCGTTTTTTTCATGAAACTTTTTTTCCCTTATTCGCCTCTTCTTTTTGTTCTAGCTTGTAGCGTGTGGTTATGCTGATTCACGGTATAAACTGTTAAATTTTAATAAAAGATTCATTGAAAACAATTTAAGTTTATTGTTTATTTTGAGCTTTTTGGTTTATTGAAGTTGTTTAAATATTGCAGACCGCTGGCAAGAATACCGCAGATATTGGCGAGGCGTTGAACGACTGGAAAGCAGCTGATTATTTCGAGTAAGTCACGGTTTTTATGATAATCGCTAGATGGTTGCAAATATCGATGAATAAAGCTATGCGGGAGACTACGAACACGTTTCTTTCACCCCAGACAAACCGTAGGGAAGATTGTAGTTCTTTGTGAAGGCAAACTGTCAGAAGCCAGTAGCTTGTGTACTTTGGAAAAAATTGAGTGATAAAATTGAGTTACTTGCCCCGGTTAGCAGTTTTCTAGTCTAGGGTCGGTTTGGGCAGAGAGTGGAGGATTCCTTGGGATTGTGTTTCTATAAACCGAGACTTATGTGTTAGAGAATATGGTGAAATCTTTCGTTAAACTGAGCCGCCTGCTCCTCATGACTTTGACTCCTTCATGCATCGACGTCCTTCGCGTTTACTTGCAGCGTATGCGGACCATTTGATTTCTCATTTTTTCGTCCTTACTTCTTCTGTAGCAGACATTTAGAATATTCGGCAGACTAAACTTGGAAAAAGAGACAGGGCATACTGCTGTAAAAAGAGCACCCACGAAAATCCTACATTTTTTGGTCATAATTTCCAATCATTGCCGAGCCATTCTGTCTGAGATCGATTAACCGTGCGCTTCGCGCCATGTTACTTTCAGTTACACATTACACATGCGTCATTCTCTTACACGAAACGTAAGTAATTCCCACGAACGATGAGACCATGCTCGATTTGGAAAACTTTGTCTGATACCGCTTTGATCCTCCCGAGAAAATAAAGTCTCGTGATGATGGTGGCATAATGACGTGGATTAGTTTTACCTGTGCAAGCTGTTGCAAAATGTTTAAGTTTTGAGAAAACGATCTGCCGTGTCTCGTCATGGAATGCAAGCGCCATTGTGTCTGACAGACGCTTACTTAGGATTTGTCGTTTCGTTCGCTGCCTGATGTTTGGTCGATCTCAAGGAGGAAGAACAGCTATTTTGCATCATACTTGGGTGCGCTCGATAGGAATGATCCAGTTTTTCACATTGCCTATTTTGCTGTTTCTTGTTTGTTCATTTGTTTCATCCAAGTTTTGGCAACTTATCGAATGTCATAGGGTTCATTTAGGTAGATTTCACTGCCTGGCTTGATTCTTCAGAATGAATGTCCGTCATCCATCTGTGGTTGCTTTCAAAAGTATTGTTACACGTCAGAGGTGACCGATGGTCGATCAGCTAATTCAAATTAATGCCCAGCAACGAGAAGCTATTCTAGTGTCATGCTGAGTGCCACGATATGGTACTAGTACCTGAGTGTTACCTTCTTTCCCGTTATGTTTGCGGAGTTATTGAACTATACATTAAGTTAACTTACGACTCTGTCTCTATGTCTGTTTGCGACATTGATTTGTAATAATATCATGTCAATATTCCGACTGACCGAATCTAGCATGTTAGATATGTTAAAGATGGCATCCATTCAGTCGAAATAGTTTCATTGTACATTATCGTTAAAAGTAAATGTCATGAACAGAAGGTTATAGTTAATGTTTACATTCACGAAGAAAAAGTTTTCAACATTTTATCTGTTAAGCTTTTTGAGACATCTGTATCGCATAGCTCATTTTCTGCATCGTCTCTAGTATTAGCTTTTCTCCACATTTTATTAAGTTGTAGCCAGCACAAGTTGGAAATTATAGCGCAGATATGTCAAGCACTATAGTGGATTTTTGCGACATGTTGAACGTACGATCGAACAGACAATTTTAGGATAAACATATTGTAGTCTTTTACGATAAACATTTCGTAACCAAGAAAAGAGAATTGCAGATAAATTAATTGAACTTCTTGAGTTTTATTTCTGATTGATAGTAGACTACATTTTTAAATGGGTGGGGAGGAAGGGAGGGTTGAAACGAATGCGGACTACACGTTGCTTGTTATACGCGCAAACACTTATTTATACCATATTCGTTTTAGAGCGAATGAAAATGATCAGTTTGCAGAAAACGACTTCCATATATCTGAAGAAGACACCAAACTTCTGCCGATTGCTCATTCATGGTTCGAAAAGGTAAGCAATTCTTCAGTGCCATTATGATTAAGTAATTCCAAGGCTCAGAAGTTTAGTTCTCTTGTCAGTGCTTTGCCAGCTCACAAGTCGATTATACATAGCACTACGTCATATGCTTATTTGTTTGTTTATGATGGTCAGCAGTCGGTCGGTCGGTCAGGCATTCATTTATTCATTCAATAACTTTTTTCTTTTACTATATCTGTAAATAGAAAACGGCTTGTTGCAGGCACAATAAATATCATGTCACAGCGTTAACAAAATTTTACTTTCAGGATGCTTTTAATGAACTTGAAAACGATGAGGACGAGGATTTAGAAGTCGAAGTTGGCGCCAAAAGAATGAAATTGGAGGTTAATCGGACAGAAAGTAAGACCGGATTTGCGTTGTTTTTAATTTCAAAATTTCTGGAATCGATTATGTATAAATGCTATTCCAGTCCGATCAGGGTTGCACCAAGAAGATCAACAGAACGAAAACTCCATAGCATTGTTACACGTGTTACACGTGAAGTTAGTACCTGCCCTCCTTGACCGTCAGATTTTTGTTGGTCTTAGCTGGCTGGTACACGATAAAGCGATTTTCCTTAATTCAGGGCATGAACCCGATTTTGTAAAGGCTTCTCATCCAAGCCGTAGCAATTGCATCTGTCCTACAGTGATTAATCATCAAATGAGGCAAAATTGTTTCCTGATGCTTTCCCGAATTGAACGCGGATCGCTTACTTGTCAATCTAATCTTAATTATTTCTGATGCATACCAAGTATATATTATTTTTAAAAAACTATTTATTTTGATTTATAATTTAAAGCCAGTGCCTCCTGCGTTGAAAGGTTTTTGACGATGCACTATTTACTCTATCGCAAACAGTTTGCACTTTAATTGGCAGTTTTACGGGTTAAGTAAACTGATTTCTTTTATGTAACTAACCACACGTCACTGGAGTGATTTACAGTGCATG